ATCTTTTAAGATGTTTCATAGCCATCTTTACTTCTTCTTTTGAGAACTCTCTGTTCAACACCTTAGCCCATCTTTTAATTGGGTTCCTTCTTGTCTTGATTCTCTGTTTTTTCAGTTCGTTATATACTCTGGGTATTAAACCTCTGTTGGATGTGTCGCTGGTGAAGATTTTCTCCCATTCTGTGGGTTTTCTGTTCGCTTCCCTGGTTGCCTCCTTTGATGTACAGAAGCTTTTCAGTTTAATGAGGTCCCATTTATTAATTCTTGCCCTTGTTTCCTGAGCAATTGATGTCCAGTTTAGAAAATCCTTTCCTACACCTATATCTTGTAGGTTTTTCCCAATGTTTTCTTCTAATAGTTTCAGAGTTTCAGGCTTTACATTGAGGTCTTTGATACAGTTGGAATTGACTTTTGTGCAGGGTAAAAGATTGGGGTTTAGTTTCATTCTTCTACAGGTGGAGATGCAGTTTTGCTAGCAACATTTGCTGAACATGCTGTCTTTCCTCCAGTGAATATTCTTGGTCCCTTTGTCAAATATTAGGTGGCTGAAATTGCATTTACTCATATTTGGGTCTTCAATTTTGTTCCATTGATCTATGGGTCTACTTTTGTGCCAGTACCATGTTGTTCTTATGACTATAACTCTGTAATACAGCTTAAAATCTGGTATGGTAATCCCCCCAGCATTGCTCTTAGTGCTCAGGGTTGTTTTGGCTATCTGAGGTCTTTTGTGCTTCCATATGAATCTTAGGATGTTTTTTTCCAATTCTGTGGAAAATTTCATGGGGATTTTGATTGGCATTGCATTGAATCTATAACCAGATTTTGGTAGGATGGTCATTTTCACAATATTAATTCTTCCAATCCATGAGCATGGGAGGTCCTTCCATCTTCCATCTCCTAGTATCTTCCTCAATCTGTTTCTTAAAGATTTAAAATTTTCATTGTAGATGTTTTTAATGTCAGGTTTATTCCGAGATATTTTATTTATTTATTGCAGCTATTGTGAGGGGGAGTCTTTCCATGTACTCTTTTTCTGATTGCCTGTTACTGGTATATAGAAAGGCTACAGATTTTTGTAGGTTAATTTTGTAATCTGTCACTTTACTGAATGTGTTAATAATTTCTAGGAGTTTTCTGGTGGAATTTTTGGCATCTCTTAGATATCATATCATCTGCAAAAAGGGATAATTTGATCTCTTCTTTTCCAATTATTACTCCTTTAATTTCCTGTTCTTGCATGAGTTTCAAGTACTATGTTAAAGAGAAGTGGAGATAGTGGACAGCCTTGTGTGGTTACTGATTTCAATGGGAAGGCTTCCAGTTTTTCTCCATTTAAAATGACATTGGCTGTGGGTTTGTTATATATGGCTTTAATTATGTTGAGGTATGTTCCCTCCAGTCCAATTCCCTCTAGAACTTTGAACATAAATGCATTTTGAATTTTGTCAAAGGCCTTCTCTGCATGTATTGAGATGACCATGTGGTTCTTTTCTTTGAGTCCATTTATATGATTTATGATGTTTACTGACTTACGTATCCCTGCATCTCTGGGATAAAGCCGAGTCGATCATGGTGGATGATCTTTATGATATGTGTCTGTATGCGGTTTGCAAGTATCTTGTTGATAATTTTTGCATCTATGTTCATTAAGGATATGGGTCTATAGTTTTCATTTTTGGTTGTATCTTTACCTGGCTTTGGTATTAAGAGTGATGTTGGCTTCTTAGAAGGAATTTGGAAGTTCTCCCTCCATTTCTACCTTTTTCAATAAATTAAGTAGTATTGGATGTAGATCGTCTTTAACTGTCTGACAGAATTCTTCTGTAAATCCATCTAGTCCTGGGCTTTTTTTACTCAGGAGGTTTTATATTACTGTTTCAATTTCCTTATATGTTATGAGTTTGTTTAAGCTGTTTACCTCTTTTTGGTTTAGCTTTGGTGATTCCCATAATTTTAGATATACATCTTCTTTTAGGTTTACAAATTTAGTAGCATATAGGTTTTTAAAGTATTCCCTTATAATGATCTGTATCTTTCTGGTGTCTGTTGTTATGTTTCCTCTTTCATCTCTGATTTTGTTGATTTGGGGGTGCTCCTTCTTTCTTTTGGTTAACTGGGCTAGCGGTCTGTCAATCATGTTTATCTTTTCAAAGATCCAGCTCTTGGATTTGGTGATTCAAAGTAACCTGCATCAGTTGCTTTGAATATTGATGTGGGAAGATTATATTTTGCTGTACAAGCTTTCTATAATAAGTTTATTCTGTAAATTATTAGCCTACAACAAGTTCATACCATTCTATTATAGGTTGATATCTTTACACTTAATAACTATTTTTTAATTTTCCTCATCAGACTTCTACAGAGATAGTATACTTGAGGCATTTATTAAATTTCATAGTTTCAAAGTATGTAGCAGAAAACTAAAGAGCATTTCCTTAAATACAACACACAGATGAATCTGAAGCAGAAAAGATGTAATCAGAGTAAGAAATTGTGCTTTGTTTCAAGGTTAGTATGTAATTAGTTCTGCTAGCCAAATCTCAATCAAACAATCTGAGATATTTTTATTAAAAATACTTGTGTGA